CGGCCAGATGTTCCCCCCCTCGGTCCGCCCCTCTCCTCCCCTGGCCTCCCGCCCTCCCCGAGTTGGGCTTCCGCGATTGACCGAAAGCGGCTGAACCGGCGCTCCCCGCCCGCCCCCATCCCTCAATCTCCCCCAATAGGAGGGCAGCTTTTCTGGACGGTGAAGGGGGTGGTGAGCAATCGTCGGACTGACAAGTGGGCCCTGCCAATGGGAGAGGCGAATCGGAGCTGCCGCATACATGTGCCAATCAAAGACAGTAACTACCAGGGTGGGCGGAGCCCGAGTCGGGTGGGGCCGGTAGCAAAGTGGCGCGGGGCGGAGTCCTGAGGCGCAGCAGCGGCGGCAGCAGCGGCGCCCCTCTGGGTGACTTGGCCGTGAGAAAGTGAAAGGAGCCCGCAGGCGGCGGCGACAGCTGCGCTGGGAGGGGCTTGTTTCCAGGCTAGGAGGCCTTGTGTGCTCTAGGAGTGCGGAGCAAGCATTTCGGTGCGCACTGTGAGGACGATAAATTCACTTTCAAAATGTAGTGGATCTTGGTTTCTCTTAAGTTAGCAGGTATCCTCGCCAAGCAGGGCATACGGGGACACAGATGACTTGGGCCCGGTGTTAGGTGGCTTGCTGCGCTCCTTCCCGCTGTTGGTGACGACGCCCTGGTCCTCGCCCATGAGAGCGCAGGAGAGGACTCGGAACGTTCTCGCTACGTCCTGCGGTGTCCGGTCTCTAGGTGCATATTGGGGCGCTGAGAAGGCGTCCCGCCCAAAGGCACAGTTTCCGGGCATTTTTTTCCTTACGTTGTCATGTTCAGGCGGAGGGAAACGCCTGAATTTCTCGCAGAACTTCTTAACAGTGTTACAAGTGAAGACGTTCCCAAGTGACCAAATTTTAGAAAATTACAGTGAAATTGATGCTTGTAGACGCCCTAGCCTGATTCCTTATTTGGCACTTACCAAGCCACAACTTTAAATTACTAGTGAAGACTTGTGTCACTTTTCCTTCACTTTGAATAAACTTCCTCAGAACCTGTTCTTTGCAAGGAATCTTCTTAATCACTGCCGTTGCCATGAGGAAAAATAGACATTTCTACCCTCAGTAAGCTGGAATTTGAAGAGGCAGAATTACAAGTAAAAAAGTTTGGTAACAAGTGAAAAAGGTTCAAGAAGTAGAAAGCTGCATATAGTAAGGGAGTCAGTGCAATATTGTCAAATATAATGTGTTTATGCTTTGCTAACTGTTGCCAACAAACTTGCCAAGAGACTAAAATGTGCTTTTCTCTTTGTTCCAGGTCAGAGGGGTAAAGTAAGTTGAAAGTATTGTTTGGGCAAATCAGACATGTTGAATTGCTAATGAAGTAAAAAACAGGAGCACACAAAATTCCTAAAACAAAAGTACTATTGGAATATGTTGTTAGAAACAATAGTGATGCTCTGTACTCTTCCTTCATTCAATCTTCCTCTGTGCCTTCATGACTGCCCTCTGAGGTGAAGGTCATCTTACGATAACACTAGCGTTTTACTCCGTGAAATCTATTGTGTCTGTGCTTTTGATGAATTCTAGGTCTTTTCAGTCTGTTGGAGAGGCCCAATTCCACCCTGACCTATTTAAAGTTGGGGAATTTTATAAATATTCTGGAAGGATGACATATACTGTATAAAAAGAGGTGTAAAAAAGGAGTACCTTTTTACTGACAAGTTTTACTGACTGTTTTGCTAACAAATTCAGGAATAATGAGGAAAAGGAAATGTTGGCATTCTCAAAGCTGTTTCTCACCTATTGAAAATTAAAAATCAGGAAAACATCTCTGGATGACTAGATAAAATATCTGATAGTGCTCAGATATTAAACAGTAAATTTCACAAGGAAATTAAAACATTCAGATTATACAGAAAACTTAGAAATTCAGCTCTATGCCATACAGAGCAAAAACACAGCCTTAAAAAAAGGTTTTTCAGGTTCTCCTAGAAGTAGCATAACAACCTTCAGAGGTGTTCAAGGAGAGGTACTGATGCATCAAAAGTTACAGCCTTTTTTTTCCCCTCCTAGCAGTCATTACTAGATTGTATATTTAGAACTGAATTGTACAGCCAGGAAATATAGACTAAATGGATATTTAAGAAAGCAAGTTCATCCCCCCTCAATTATATAAAAGATTTATAAATTTATGAAAATGCATGGCACATTCATGCACTGAAAAAAAAAAAATCAATAAAAGTGTTTCCAGGGCAGTTATTGTGGCCAAGGAAGTTACTCTGCTAGAGATACAGGAGACATCAAAAAAGTAAGACAAAGTCTCTTCTTCCTGGAAT